TAATGCTCTTTAAAACTCCAATATTTTTGAACCTGATCTAGCTATATTATATCTCTTTACCCTCTTTCTTTTTGCTCCTTTTCCTCTTGCTTCATCGATCTTTATATATGCATATATCTTTTATCTCTATGTGGTGCTCGTCAACATCTGCCTCTCATCTGTGATGTCATTTGACCTTCTATGCCCCTGACTCGATCTTCCCCCGGCTCTACCTTCTGATATAATCGTCCACCGTGTTCGACTTCCAACGGGTTGATGGGTTCATCCAACGGGTTCGGGTCCAATGGGCTAATGCGCTCCTTGGACGGGTTTGACGTCCAACGGGTTGGGTCCAGCGTGTTCGACTTCCAACGGGTTAATGCGCTCCTGGGACGGGTTTGACGTCCAACGGGTTAATGCGCTCCTGGGACGGGTTTGACGTCCAACGGGTTTGACGTCCAACGGGTTTGACGTCCAACGGGTTGGGTCCAACGGGTTCGACGTCCAACGGGTTGATGGGTTCATCCAACGGGTTCGGGTCCAATGGGTAAATGGGCTCCTTGGACGGGTTTGACGTCCAACGGGTTTGGGTCCAGCGTCTTCAACTCCCAACGGGTTAATGCGCTTCATCGATCTTTATATATGCATATATCTTTTATCTCTATGTGGTGCTCGTCAACATCTGCCTCTCACCTGTGATGTCATTTGACCTCTATGCCCCTGACTCGATCTTCCCGCCCCTCTACCTTCTGATATAATCGTCCAGCGTGTTCGACTTCCAACGGGTTGATGGGTTCATCCAACGGATTCGACGTCCAACGGGTTAATGCGCTCCTGGGACGGGTTTGACGTCCAACGGGTTGGGTCCAGCGTGTTCGACTTCCTCATCCAACGGGTTCGACGTCCAACGGGTTGATGGGTTCATCCAACGAGTTCGGGTCCAATGGGTTAATGCGCTCCTTGGACGGGTTCCAACACGCTTCCGATTTGGGCTGGGTCCAGTATGCACTCCTCCAAAGCAGGCAATAAGACTCGACGGGTGAATTTGTAAACGTCTCGTGGAGATAGCCACCGAAGATATTTGGATAGCTCACTCTTCCCGTAGAGAGTCTCGAATCCCCAGCAACGCTGGGGCTTGTGCTCGTCCTCTTTCTTGATTTTTGCGCAACTACGTTCAAAAGCGGCCAGCAGGCTAGCTGCTTCTCTTCGGACCCTCTCCGACGGATCACAGAGCGCCGATATTATATATGGAAGAGTCACTTGCATATCAAAGCAGGCGGAGGCATTCTCAGTAAGACAGTCCGTCATAAGTTGGATAGCTGATGCTCTGCTTGCAGATGGATATGGTCCAGAACAAAATCGCAGGAAGAAGGAGAGAATCAAAGTGCCCTGCAGAGATGAATCACGTTTTAAAATAGGTAAATCAACAAATTGTGATTGTTTTTGCTTGTTCCCAGTGGCAAGAACAAATGCGTGTGCCAGTTGACTGAAAATGGCCGAATGTGGTTCTTCAAGAAAAGAAGTGTGCTTGGTAGATTTGGGAATCGCTTCCAGGGTCTCAGCAAACACGTTCTCCTTTTCAACGGTGGCATCAGAATCTTCCATATTGACATCGTCTATGGTTACCAGAACTCGGTTGCTTTCAAGAACCGTCTCAAGGCCGATTTCTAGTGCATTGAGGTCAATTTTTGCTTCCCGAATAGCACTTTGCAGGAGAGGTGCCAACGGCTCTGACTCAGTAAAGTGCTGGATCATTCCTGAGAGGATTGACCGACTCTCTTCGATCATAAGGCCGGACCTTTGCAAATCGTTGGCTGCTTGAAGAATAGTAACCATTGCCTGAATCAAAGCATCTGACTCTAAAATGTCGCGCTGTATAATGTCGTCAACTAACTGTAAGGGAGTCAAATCCTTCTGGTTACTAATGTCCTTGGTGCATCCATTTATCAAACCAAGAAGTAATCCTGTCATAGAGTATCGTGTGCGGAGCTCAGCAATCATGTCAAGGGAGTTTTCGAAACGAGTGATAGACTTAACAACATTCCGAGGAAGTCCCTGTGAAGTCTTGTGTTGCCCCAGGACTGATAAGCATGTCAACCCTGCCAAGATAGTCTCCTGAGTCCAAGTTCCGGCGACAGCCTCCATGAGCCCGTCCAACACATTATCTTCAAGCAATGTTTTATTAGCGATAACAACACAGAGCATGTAACAACCGATGACAAGTTCAGGGACTTTTGGTAGTCCAAATCCGGTATGTAGAACCGGAAGTATCTGGAGCAAAACATCTTCCTGATTCCTTTTTTCCACCTCTCGTCTTCCAGAGTTCGCGGCGTCCAACATGTTAGCTACTGCTTCTGCGGTGACGCCAGCCCAAAAAGATAGAAGCCCTTGATAATGGGCCTGAGCCTTGCTGACTTGCAAAACATAATTATTTAGAGCAGAAAAAAAGAGTTTATTCGTTGAGGCGCTATGGACAATTGGATGTCGAGGTGGCAAGGTCAAACTCCGCCTATAGGGGTTTAAAACTTTGAAAGTGGGCGGGAGGTTTTCAGGCAGAATCGACAGCAGTACCTTGAATAAGTCGGTTGTGTGGTATGGGAGGAATGTGAGTAAGACAAAATCGGTATTGTACTCGTGAACTCTGAGGATCCATGTTAGGTTAAAACTAGCTATCAGTAGAGTGATGTTCGATAATTGTAGACATACCGAAAACGACGAACAAGCCACTCAACCGATTTGATAGCAGGCTGCAGTAGAAGGCGGCTACCAACAAGTGCCAGGAATTCCTCCAAAACAATATCTAGTTCTTTATTTTGTTCTGCATTCATTTCAAGCCTATCCTCGGTCTTGCTCTGTTCGTTAAATATCGTACGCCGGAATCTCGCAAACCGTGGATCCAGTGCGCATAATTCCTGAAAGCCTTCATAACATATTTGGTAAATAGTGTCAAAGCTCTGGGACACCGCATTCCTCTGTTCAAACAGCAAAGATTTCGAGTGAGCAATCCTTTGGGCTTTCAAATCAAGCTGGTGCGTCGAGGTCGCCGCTATTTGCGACAGCTGCACCGTGAGCGAGGAGGCCATTGCGGTGAGCTGGGTCGGAAGATTTCGAAATTTTTGAGGAACAAGGATCAAATGGCCAGCAACATACTCAATTATAACCCCCAGGCTTTTCTGCTCACTATCGTTGAAATCTCCCTGGCGGTGGCTTAATCAACGCTCTTTGCAAAATTATTGAGAACGACGTAAAATTTTTGACGAAAATGGAAATTTTTCCCGAGGGCAAACCTTACCAAAACAGCAATTGCACGCGGCCGCAATCTTGACCACAACTCACCAGCGACGATGAGAGAAGCGCCCATCTGCGATTCTCGGATATGGATTTGGGGGATCCAAAGGTGCGTAAATTTTTAAATATTATTTGTATTGGACCATGTATAGGGTACAATCTATCTTATGCAGTTTCAGGAACAGAAGCCAATCCCGAAGTTCGCGAGCTTCCGACCACCATCATCCACAGCAAGCGCGGAAGTCAGCTCTGAACACGAAAAAGGAGGAGCTTCCAGAAAACATGAACGGTTTAGACACGAATCTAGACACTCGCGGTTTAGGGGTCATTCCCATTCGCGGAGTGCTGAGCTGGATCGCCACCGTGAGCCGCATTCTCGGGATAGCAGAAGGGTAGAACCCAAGCCAGATAAACTCGACGAACAGGACCTTTTTATCATAGATAAAAAGGGTGATAAATACAATGTGGCGTACGGCAGTTTAAATCGTTACAGTATTCCAAAATACTTCCGCTCTGGCTCAGGAGGGTTATTGGATTGCCACCAAGTTACACTATTGATCGCAACAATGAGGATGAAAATACCGTGGTAATCAGACACAATACTGCTAGCTATGATAGCCCAAGTCAAAAGAATAGAGACTTTCTCAGGAAGGAACCTAGGAGAGAGACAAAATTTCGAGTAAGGCCGGATCCAGAGAATAATCCGTTTATTGACGCTCAGAAAGATTTCTTGCCATTAGCTTCCGATGGTTCTAGAAAACGTAGGAGTTTTCATGGGGAAATTATATCCAGGGAATCAACGCCCGAGGACAGTACCATTGATTACAGATCAATCGAAGGAAAGGCTAAAGTACCCAAAGAACTTTCCGGAGGTGCGGTCATAGTTTCAGACTCAGATATAGCTTCTGATGATGAAAGTGCCCGCCGCCGCAATGCCGACCTATCCAGAAGGGTCACAGAACGCCCGGATGACATTGAAAGCTGGCTGCAACTCATTGAGCATCAGAGCTCGTTGGTTGGAATCGCCACGAGTAACGGACAACGCAGACTCACTACAGCAGAGAAGAGGAGTGTTGCGGATATCAAAATATCAATGTACGAAAAAGCACTAAGTAAATTGCCTCCTAAAGCTCACCGGGATCGTCTCCTGCTTGGTATGATGGAGGAAGCGACAACATTATACGACACCAAAACACTCTCAAACAAATGGAAGGACATTCTAAAAGAGAACCCGGATTACATCAATCTTTGGATTAAATATTTGGACTTTCAACAAACTCGTTTTGTTAATTTTACATATGAGCAATGCCGATCGATTTTCATAGACTGCTTGAAGCTCAACGCATCGCGCAAAAGCAGCTCAGAACTCAATGTGATCAGCATATATCTTATGCTCCGCCTAAGTTGCTTCATGCGAGAGGCAGGATATGTGGAGCATGCCGTTGGCCTGTGGCAAGCAGCTTTAGAGTTCAATTTCTTCCACCCCGCGTCACTTGATATATCGAGAGATGTTAAGGCTGAATTACCTGCCTTTTGTGAATTTTGGGATAGCGAAATACCGAGGATCGGGGAAATTGGGGCAAAAGGTTGGGGCGGCGGGGAAAATGTATCTCCTAATCCCAAATCAAATGGCCCAAGTTGGGAAATAGATCAAAAATCAATATTTGAATCCTGGGAGCAATCTGAACGATGCAAAATGCGCTATTCGCGTCTTCCAGCTCGCACCTCGGACGATGTCGAAGAGGATGATCCATATCGAGTGATATTGTCTTCGGATATCACTGATTTTCTTATTTCATATTCAGATGTTCCCGATTTACTAATTGGCGCTTTCATGATTTTCTGTGGTCTCCCTCCACTAGCATCATCTGGGAATGAGGATGTTCTAAATCAATGGCGCAGAGATCCATTTGTTCGCAACAATCTGCTCGATGATTTTGATAGCCAGTTGCCAACGTGGTTCTCAGATGTGGTTCATGGGCCACAAGATCCTATTCACAGCCAACTGAACACCTTCCCTCTACCCACCTTTGCAAACAGTTCAGACACATTATTTGATAATGGAACTTGGTTCTCGGAGCTTCGAGTATGGAAAAACACATATTTGAATGGTCACAGCCCTCTTGACGGCGAGTGGGTGAGGAGAACACTACGACACTTGGTGAATCGGTTTCCCGAGCGGGATGATCTTGCAGAGTTCACTGTTGCGCTTGAATTTATTTCAAATGCCAGTGAGGCAAAAAAATATGCGAAGAACCTTCTTAAGAAACGTTCATCAAGCCTGAGACTATATAATGCTTATGCTCTGATGGAAATTCGCAGCGGCCGGATAACAGCGGCAGAGCATGTTTGGACCACAGCCTTATCGATGAGCGACAGTTTGAAGAAGGAGGATAAAGTAGACAGCATACTGTTATGGCGAACTTGGGCCTGGGAGATTCTTACCGACCTTAACAATGACAAGACAGTTCGATTGTTACTCGCGATCCCCACTGGCACCATAGATTCAACCACCTTAGCCGATGATTCTAAATCCTCTACATCTATCAGACCTGCCGAATTCCTCAAGGCTCAAATGGTAAGCGTCCATAACAATATTTTCCGAAAACTACTGACACTCTGCGCAGTACCTCACTGAAACCCAGGAGCATGGCCTCACCTCGCGGAAGCCTAACGTGTTCGTTAGCGCTGTCGAATGCCTCGGGTTGTTGGTCTATTTGACTAGGAACCTCGACATTGACGCTGCTATAAATGTCTACGCAACTGGTCATTCCCGCCTTGTCGCACATCGGTTAGAAAACACATTATTTGGAGAACTCCTCTTGCAAGCGAAAGCGAAACTTCTGTATCACCACGCCACTTCAACCAGGATATACAAACCAGTCCTCCTTCGGTCGGAATTAACAGATAGCATATCTCACTTCCCGCAAAACACCTTATTCCTCAGTCTCTTTGCCTGGAATGAATCTCGTTTCCGGATTGATGACCGCGTCCGCTCCGTCCTGCGTCAATATACAACCCCGAAAACATGTAACGAAAACGACAAATTTTTACAAACCTGCTTTTCGACAAGCTCGACGCTAATCCCCCATCTCTTTTCTATTTTCACCGAACTCCACCGAGGTGTCTCGTCGGGGTCGACTGTCCATTCTGCCCGTGCAGTTTTCGAATCAGCACTCACCAGTCCATCTGGACAATCCAGCGCTTCTACCTGGAAACTGTACATTCTTTTCGAACTTACGCTATCACAGTGGGGGCGTGCGAGAGAGGTATTTTATCGCGCGATACGTTCTTGCCCATGGGCGAAGGAGTTGGTATTGCTTGCATTTCGAGAACGGGGGTTACGGGAGCTGATGGGACAGGATGAGCTGAGAAAGGTGTGGAATGTACTTGTTGAGAAGGAGTTGAGAATTCACGTGGATTTGGAAGAATGGTTTAATGACAGGGGCAAAGAGAGGGGGGAACTTGATTTCACTAGGGATCTCCCTATTCATATGCCTGAAGATCTGAGTAGTAGTGATGAAGGACCATCATAATGTGGAGAAGACATAGTGAAGAAAACGGAGGTAGAAGATATGTATAGTAGTTAATAGTTCAAGGGACATGAGGTGTAAATAGAAATTGAACTAATGGTGTATCTGAATTTGCTACGTGGCACAGCATGCTATTTGCACGGCACGAGCCCAAAATAACGTTGAACGGGGAATCTCCTCCGTTTGATAAAGTCATTGTAAAATGTGTTTACCAAATGGGCTGCACTATATCTATAAATACACCAAGCAAGTATATCAAAGTACATCTTTCCAAATGAGCAAGCAAGAGTCACTCAACCCCTTCACTTACTATCCATCCTCCACAACCGTAACCTTGGGAATACCAGCCTTCTCCCTCTCCTCCCTCCGCCTCTTTACCCACTCGCCCAGCTCACTCCACACAGCCTGCTTCTCCGCCATCGTCATTCCAGCCGCCAACCCACTAGTCGTCGTAGCTACAAATACCCTAGCCCCCTTCCACTCCTTCGTCCTCCCCATCCTATCCCCCTCATCCTGCCATCCGTACCTGAACTCCTCTTTCTTGATCGCCCTTCCCCTGCGAACCCTCCATACCGCCTCCCAAATACTCTTGCCAACAAGACAAACAGCCTCTGGCCTCTTCTCTCTAATTTTCCTCTCGAGCACCGGCACACCGTCATCCATCTCTTTCCTGGATAGCTGGCTAGCATCCCTGGTGGGTCTCTCAACAATGTTCGTATTGCCGACGCTATACAGCTCCGGGAGTTGGTACGTATCGGAAGGAGGATGGCGGTAATCGGTTATGCCAGAGGAATGAAGTAGTTTCCAATAGAGGTTTGAAGGATGCGCATAGACGTGGCCCGTTTGCCCTGTCATGATACCTGGGTTTACACCTATGAAGAGGAGGACGAGGTTGTGAGGGATGGTGTCACGGAGGTTGCATATTGGACGGGTGGGGAAGCGGAAATTAGCGGCGGATGTGAGGGAGACTCTGCTGGAGTTGGCACTGGCCCTTGGTGTTTGGCGACTGGGGTTCCTACGGGATGGGGAGGACGGCTCAGATCGACTTTTCTCGAGTCCCAACGGGGGCGTGAGGAGACCTATGCCAGCACGGGAGACAGAGCGGGTGATTCGCGTGACTTCTCGAGACACTGCTATATCCACCTCCACAACATCGCTGTTGGAGAATTTTCGCTTCAGAAAGCGCCCCGCTTCTTCACTTTGCGTCTGCTGCACGACGAGGCTCCCTTTAGGCGGAGAGTCATAGATGAAGCGATTGAGATTCCCCTTAAATGAAGGAGACGGGAGGGAACAGTCATTATCGGGTCTGTTATCCTCGTTAATGGAAGGCATTGCGGTGTGTGTACTCTTGTCTCACCAACACTCTCAAACTTTGATCAGAATCTACCGTAAGAATATCCGAGAAGAGATAACTTGTCATCCATGCTGGAAAACCCAATTGGCGAGGAGGTTAAAAATGCAAAGTTTAAGTACACATTAAATAAAATCCTGCCAAGACCAGTCCGGGCGTCTCGAGAGTTGCCTGTTTGTTTGTATGTATCTTAAGAGCAGTATAGGCTCCCGTTAATTGCTTGATACGTCAAAGAGCTTACTTTTGTTCGTTCCTGCTGGAAAAAC